ATGGGAAGGCAGAGAGGGTTAGGAGCTGGTTGAATGGACATGGGGAATCAGGGGTGGAAAGGAAGAGTGTGCTGTCACAGTATGGGGAGAGCAATTAGAGTCACATAACAATGTATGTATAAATTTTTTGTATGGGAAAAAAATAAAAAAATAAAAAAAAATACTATATTTCACTGTGTTGAAAAACACTTTATTTTGTTTTTTCAAACTTCAGTTTCTCACAAGCAAACTGTCGTGGTTGAATAGTTTTTAGTCCATGCAACCTGTTCCTAACACTCTCCCCAGGCTACTTTATATCTCTCTGTAGTGCTGTAGAAATGTCCGGAATAGGGATTGCCACCTATCATGAGACCTTTGATATCTGTTAAGGACTGCATCCCTTCTGCCTCTAAACCAGCATAAAGGGACTGGAGGGCAAGACCTGTGGCTTGCGCTTCCCTATCCCTTCATCTAGCAAAGTGCCTGGCTGCTGTCAGGTGTTCAGTAATGCTGGTTAAGCTGAACGGAAAGTTTTACTATGATTTGACACCGTGAATCAGCTTTGACCCCATTCTTTCCCTTTTTCTCATCTTGTTGTTGAGGCTCATTGGTTGGTTGGTTTGTGTTTTAGGCCTGTGACATTTTACCTCTACAACATCCTTCATGTCTTCCCCTTCCTCTCCATTCACACCCCTGTCAGATGACTTGTGTGAGAAGAGTGATCCCAAGGCTTCAGTGGTACCCACTGAGGAAAGGCCCTACTCCATGGCTAGGTCCTCCCTGCTCTGGTGAGACATTTTTTTGGCTTATCCTCCTTTCCTCCCCTTCATAGCCCCACCCTTTTGTCCATCAGAATTTCCCAAACACCCCTCTCCCACTTGTGTGCCTCCTGACTTTCCCTGCAACTTACTGCCTTCCCCATCTGAAATGCCTCTTTCTTGCTACCACCCCGTCTTCCGGTGTCATGTCCTTACAGCTATTCAGGAATAATCTCCTCCCATAAAGCCTTTTTTGACCCTGGCCCTAAGTTACTACCTTATCTGAACCTTTCGTGTGACACTGCATTTTTACCCTAAATTTTAGTTATTTGTGTTTTCATCTTTGTCTTAAGATATCAAGCATCTTCAGAATATAATTCACAGTGACCTATTTTTGGATCGCCAGTAGTGCCTG